CAAACCTGTCCCGATTGATAGTTTCCTCATCGATCGAAATAACTCTACCCCACAGACTACCAATATCCTTAAAGAACTTGACACTCCAAACTAAAAGAGGAACATCCTTAAGGATAACCCAAACTTTGATTTTGACTCTATTCTCATAGCCTTCCAATAATTCTAGTTCATCAAACCAAAGCCGAATACAATCTTCTCTTTTTGCCCAGTATTCCTGCCGATCACTTTTATTTCTCAATTGAATAATCACCAGCAAGTCATGCCATAAGCTAACCTTGACATCCACACCTTCAACTCTAAAGGCTGTTTGAATGAAATCTTCATTATATATATTTTTTATTTTACCAACCAGGCTGCACTCTCTCCACGATACCTCCTACTTAGGAATGACAATATTCCTACTTACTAAATCCGTAAAAGAAGAAAAGCTAAGATCTCTCTCTTCTGCAATATTGACATGAACCATACGTTCTTATCCACAAATTTTAAAAGAATGATTACATTCTTCTTTCTCTTTAGGCTTACCAACATCTCCCGTCACACCTCGAAGAGCTTCCTTGAATGATCTGGAATCCCTTAAAGAAGGCTTCCAAACCTTTGTGAAACCTCTACCAGCTTCCCCTCTGTTAATATTTCCTGCTAACGCTCTATCATGGAAAACTTTAATCTTAAAACCATCCATCATCCTGCCGTCAGCACATAAAACCACTTTGTTTGCTTCATCCTTACTTCTGTACCTGACAAAGGCGATTGTCAAACCACTTGCTCTATCCATCATTTTGTGAGCCTGAGGTTGATGGTGATGAGTTTCCCACAAACATGGCATGAAGCGTTATAGGAGATGGTGGAAGCAATATAAACCAAGCGCAATATGAACCTCCACCATATATGTAACATTAGGAGCTAAGGCAATGTACACATCGAAATTTTTTTATATGCTAATTTAGAATTCAGTGGAGTTAACTCATCTTCCACTAATGAAGAGTTATATATAAGAATTAGAGCTCCCACCAAAGAGCTCGCAATGGTTGTAGTATACATAATTTTATTCATTTCTAAGTCAAACAAGATAATAACGATAAATATGTTTATCATTAATGTCTCAACACAATGACAGATTTAATTAAATGGTTTGTGTATCAAAAAAAAGGACAAAAATATCCGATAAAGAACATATACAACAAATCCTATCCATGTTGTACATGGGATCAATTAAGTTCATCATTGCTGAGATTCTTATATCATTTACACAACAATCTTATCCCCGGTAAAAACACCCGTCAAAGTTATTATTACTATATATGTTAATTATGTTTGCATTAGTGCTCTAGATTTATTGTATATACGTAATATTTTGATTATTGGATTCTATTATTATCATTTGCATGTTTTTTTTATTTTAATATCCTTGAATAATATTGTTAATTATTTTAAATATTCTTAATTGATTATTATTATGAGAACAATAATAAAATAAAATTGGTATGAAGTTTGATAGATATCCATGAGGTGAATATGAATGAGATTCAAATCAAATTCATATGTATTTATTGAGAACAAATATTATCGACACAATTTGAGATCACTACAATAAAACTGTTCTTAAGTGCCGTTTTGAGAGTAAACACCACTAACTTTAAACATATAGCGGCGTTTACATTCCAACGTCACAAAATGGTAACTTTAGCGATGTTTCTTTACAAACATCATAATAGGGTTCATTTATAGTGGCGTTTTTTCGACAAACGCCGCAACAGAGTAGTACTTTAGTGACATTTTTATACAAACGCCTCAATAGATCCATCTATAGTGGCGTTTTTTCAATAAACGCCGCAACAGATTAGTACTTTAGTGGGTTTTTATACAAACGCCACAATATGGTTCACCTATAGTGGCATTTTTCAATAAATACCGCAACAAATTAGAACTTTAGTGGGTTTTTATACAAATGCCGTAATAGGGTTCACCTATAGTGGCTTTTTTAATAAACGCCGTAACATATTAGAACTTTAGCGGCGATTTTATACAAACGTCGTAATAGTGTTTACCTATAGTGGCGTTTTTTCAATAAACTCCATAATTGTTTGAATTTATGCGAAATACTATAATAATTAAAGGAAAATATTATTAAATTATGGACTAATAACAAAAATGAAATGAAATGAATTAAAAATTATTATAATAATATTTAAAAAAAATATTATAATAGTTATAAGTTAACGAACATTAAAATATATCACTTAACGTGATTAGTAACATAATCTCAATTGAATACTTTCTTAAAACTAAATTTCTAATTTATTGTAATGATAAAAAATATTAAAATATAAATATTGTTAATACATTGTAAATAAAAATATATTAATTTCAAACATTTATATAATTAAATCCTTATACTTGAAATTACTACAGTTCTCAACATGATGATTATTATGTTTTGACCAAATTGAATGTTGTCTTTAGTCGAAAGATTATAAAGGTTATGTTTGAACGTGACAAGAATAATGTAGTGGAAAGTGAGTGATTAAGATAAAAATTTATCCCTCTTATCGATATCATTTGTTTAGTCAGTTCAACTGGGGCATTGAGAAACTGAATATAGAATGATACAAGGTTGACATTTTTAATGCATTATTGATAACTCCGTAAAAAGGTTGTATTTATGGCCTTTTCACTTAAGTTATTGATTGTCTAAAAGCTCATATAGGATCATATAGATGCATTTAGGACCATATAGCTGCATGTGATGGATATATTTTGGCGTGACATTTTATTTTGGAAAACGGAGCTGCATTACAAGGAAGGTGTGTTGTTTAATGATGTGCATGATTTAGGAGCAAGGATGTGCAAGGAGAATTGCCTCGAAAAATTGGAAATACTGAGCAGAATGCAAATATCACGGCAAATCAGATGGCATTTCTGAGCATAAAAGACAAAAGAAGATATTTTTATTAAAGTCACCTGTATTTGCCTACACGTGCTCTCTGTTATAACCACCTAAAAAGAAACCACTGCCACCTTTGTACCACCCCTTATGTGAAGGGAATGAACCTTAGGTTAGCATGAGCATTTTGACACAAATCCCTAGGTTTATTCTCCACTATAAAAAGGATATGATGTCACCATATTTAAGGGGACTTGATTTTGAAACATTTGAGTTAAAAATTTAGAGAGAAAAGGCGATTAGAATAAAAAGTTTCCCCTTTTTCTTCACCTTCATATTTTTCGTGGTGTTCCTCTATTAACAAGCTCGAGGGAGTGGCAAGCTAGGCGTCTGAGAGAAGCTAGCAAGCTAAGGTGGTTTGTGGTGGCCGATGGGAGCTCTGGTAGTGCACGTCGAAGGCTTTTCCTCCATCACTTTGTTATTCTTTCTTACTTATCACATTCAGGTTGTAAGGAATGAATATATTTTATGATTTATTTCATGGATTATTCAAACCCCACCATGAACTAGCTTTATTTAATAGGAGTTCACTATAGATGTTTAAGTTTTTTTCTTTAATAGATGGTTATCCTTTTTATGTGTTTATATTTGTTTTGTTTATGGTTCTTAATGAATTAAGGTTGTAGGAGCTATGAGAGTAGCCATTCCTTAGGAAAAAATACTTAGTGTTCGAAAGAAACTAAGTAGCTTATCTTTAATGTTCGAGAGAAACTAAGGAGGATCAACATATACAAAGGGTTTTAGATAGTAACTTGACCTAATACACCCCTATACATAAGGCTAGGATTTCAATCAACTAAAAGGAGTAGTGCTCAGTCGAGAGGTTAGATGTTAGTGCTAACGCTGAGTGGTATTACCATGACATATTCTGTTTATTTGAACCAATAGGATCCCTACACTTGTTAGTGCCAAGAGGTATTGTCATGGAATTCTCAACCTGTCGAGTCCCTTGACTTGATATAGCATAGGGCATTTTCGTAAACTCTGTCGGGTAAGTAAGACAAAGAAGCAAGACCATCTAGAGAAGATAGACTTAAGTTTCTTAAGTGACTCCTATATTCATTCCCGTAGTAGTTTGTTGTCAAGTCATTCTATTCAAATCCAGTGTTTACATTTTGTTTTGCCTTTATATTCTTATTTGATTACTCTACACACAATCTATTTTTCTACGATATCTCCATTTACTTCCATATCACACTATCATTCTATTCCCACCAATATACATTTTTTTGAATTATGTTTCGATATAAAAAATTTAAGGAAAAATGTTTTTGGATTTGAATTGAATTTATTCAAATTTTTAAAAATGTTTCAAAAATAATTCAAAGTCTATTAAATTTAGATTTGAGAAAAAATGTTAAAGTGTACCGATACACTCTGCAGTGTATCCATACACTGGTGTACCGATACACCCTGCATTATATCCATACCCCTATGACTGCTCAAACACCGAATGTAATTAGTGTACCGATACACTCTACAGTGTATCCATACACTGGCTACAACGGCTAGTTTAATTTGAATTTAATGAAGGTGTACCGATACCCTATGAAGGGGTATCGATACCCCATGTTATGGGCAACCTATATTTTACAGAAACACCATCCCCAAATGGCTCCAAAACATCCCCAATGGCTATATATGACTTCAAACATATTCTAAGCTATAAATACAAGATGAGGACACTTGAAGAAGAAAGAGAGCACCTATCCAAGTATTCAAACACAATAGAAGAGTTTTTCAATCTTATTTTTCTATTCTCTTGTAAGTATTGTGTTCTTGTGAGCTTAAATTTTGTAAACACCCTATCTTTAAGAGGTTTTATTTTTTACTTCTTTTATCCTTTTATAAAATGAAAGGTTCTAGCTGATCCCTTGAAAAACTAGGGATAAGGTTCTAGTTTAGCCCGTGAAAAACTAGGGAGTTGTAAAGGTTATCTCTTTGTCCTGTAAAAAGAAAGAACAAATTAGTGAATTTGTTGGAAAATCCTTGGTGAGGAGCTAAGGTAGTGGATGTAAACTTGGTTGAGAAGTCGAACCACTATAAATCATTGTGCAATTTTTTTATCTTTCAATCTCCTTACTCCCTAAACACTAGAACCGTCCCGACCCCTCTTAGCGAACTCTTTTGGTTGTCGATTCAAACTTCCACAAATCCTAACAATTGGTATCAGAGCTTAAATCGTTAGAAGGCTTAACATCCTTGAGATGATCCTAGAAGATGCTCTACCAACTCCCGACACAACTGAGAAGATGTCTTCCACCTCTGGCTCGTTCCACATAGAAGAGTCTCAACCGATCGACAAGCCTCCATACTTAAATGAAACAAACTACCGTCATTGGAAGAAATTAATGAAGTTATTCATACAATCCAATGATTTTGATGCATGAGAGATAATCAAGAACGACTACTCTTCTCCAAAGAAGAAGGAAAAGAAGTGGAGTGACCAAGAACGAAGGAAAGCTCAACTTAATGTTAAGGCCATACACATGTTGTTTTGTGCATTTGGTCCAGATATATATGAAAGAGTTTCTTCTTTTTCAAGTGCCAAGGAGCTTTGGAATAAGCTCGAAAAGCTTCATGGAAACATGAAAGAAGAACCAACAAAGGTGGTGTCCCTAATGGCTCATGAAGAGCCCGAGGTATCTTTTAACTCAAATGAATTAAATTCTTATTCTTTTAATGAGTTACAAGATGCATTCAATGAATTATTTTTGGAGTTTGAGACCATGAACTCCAAATATAAGAAAATTATTTCAAAATTAAAATTTGAAAACGATTTTCTTTTGAAAGCTAAAATTGATTTTTAAAATCAAAATGAAATGTTGAAAAATGATTTAAAGCTTTAAAAAATAAAAATTGAAAGTTTTGAAAAAGAATGTTTTGATGTAAAAGTTAAGCTTGAATGCTTAACAAAAGAAAAAGAAATCATTTTAAATAATTCATCTAGTTTCATAATGGAAAAATGCTCACATTGCCATTATCATAGTCATAAGGAACATACTTGTCCTTTGAAGAAAGGAAAACATTTTAAAATTAGACAAGTATGGGTTCCGAAAGGAGCAAGGGGCATTGAAACTAACGTTCAAGAATCCAAAGCAATTTGGATACCAAAATCGAAATAAATGTCTCTTGTAGGTGTGTGGGAGCAGACGTGATGAATATAAAGAAATCAAGATGCTCTAGCCACACAATGAAAAAGGAATAGGTAACCTCTAAGCTTAATTCTTTTAATTTTGGTTATTTGGTTGCTCATTTGATTTTAATCATGCATGAGTTTTTGTTTTAAATGATTATGCATTATTGTTTTAATCTCATGCATGTTAAAAAGGTTTTATGATGATCATTTTAAAGTTTTAATGATTTTACAGAATTTTTAGTTCATCATAATAAAATTTTGGTCAAAATTGATTTTAAATGCAAATGATATCTATCTAACAATTGATATCAATTTTTCAAATACTTTGATTTTACAAATTTTAAATTTTTGACCTAAATTTGAATGTTTATGCATGTGGTCGAAATAAAAATGATAACAATTGATATCAAAGTTTTCAAATGCATAACATTTTTGGAAGGCTTTATGCATATGCACTTAATTTCAATAATTGATATTGCATAAAGGATTTTAGACTTGGATATATTAAATTTCATGTGCTACTAACATGTTTGTTATTCTTTGTTGAAATTCAATTTTGTTTAAGTGTCAAGTTTTTAAAGCTAAATTTTGTTTGGAATGCACTTATTGAGGGGGAGCTTTGATTTTTCAAATGATTTTTAAATTTCAAATTTACTACTTACTCTCCAAAGTTATTTTGAACTTCAAAGATTGAATTTTTTTTGATATAACAAAAAGGGGGAGAAATTTGGTTTGAAAAATTCAATTTTTTTTAATGAAAAAGGGGGGAGCTTAACATTTTCATATATTTTCCAACAATTGGTAACAATTGATATCTTTTTCATTAAATTTTTTATTAAGGGTGAGTTTTGCCAAAAACAAATTTTCAAATGTTTTGTTATATCAAAAAGGGGAGATTGTTGAATTATGTTTCGATATAACAAATTTAAGGCAAAATGTTTTTGGACTTGAATTGAATTTATTCAAAGTTTTAAAAAGGTTTCAAAAATAATTCAAAGTCCATTAAATTCTGATTTGAGCAAAAATGCTAAAGTGTACCGATACACTGTGCAGTGTATCCATACATTGGTGTACCGATACACCCTGCAATGTATCTATACCCCTATGACTGCTCAAACACTGAATGTAATTAGTGTACCGATACACTCTGTAGTGTATCCATACACTAGTTGCAACGACTAGTTTAATTTGAATTTAATGAAGGTGTATCGATACCCTATGAAGGGGTATCGATACCTCATGTTATGGGCAATCTATTTTTATAGAAAAAGAATCCCCAAACGACTCCAAAAACATCCCCAACGGCTATATATGACTTCAAACATATTCCACGCTATAAATACAAGCCGAGGACACTTGAAGAAGATAGAGAACACCTATCCAAGTACTCAAACACAAGAGAAGAGTTTTTCAATCTTATTTTTCTATTCTCTTGTAAGTATTGTGTTCTTGTGAGCTTAAATTTTGTAAAAACCCTACCTTTGAGAGGTTTTCTTGTTTAATTCTTTTATCCTTTTGTAAAAGGAAAGGTTATAGCTGAGCCCTTGAAAAGCTAGGGATAATGTTCTAGTTTAGCCCGTGAAAAACTAGGGAGTTGTAAAGGTTATCTCTTTGTCCTGTAAAAATAAAGAACAAATTAGTGAATTGGTTGGAAAATCCTTGGTGAGGAGCTAAGGTAGTGGATGTAGACTTGGTTGAGAAGTCAAACCACTATAAATCATTGTGCAAATTTTCTATCTTTCAATCTTCTTACTCCCTAAACACAAGAACCGTCCCGGCCCCTCTTGGCGAACTCTTTCGGCTGTCGATTCAAGCTTCCGCAAATCCTAACACATTTCATTTTCCTGAGCACTCTCAGTAGTACATACTATCACACTAACTATACTTAGATTAAGTAGTTATTTGCTTTGATTGAACTTATAAATTTTCTCCAATCCCTGTGGATATGACACTCACTCATCACTGTATTACTTGTTCGATTGTGTATAGTTGCACATACTTCGCGTCAATATTTATTACTCACAAAACGCGGATAAGTTTTTGGTACCGTTGGCTGGGATTAACAACTAGAAGTTAATTAGTTTTGCTATAGAATTTTTATTTTACTTTTTCATTTTTTTTGTATAGTTTTACTTGTTATTTTACTTGTCTTTTTCAGGTTTTTCTTGGTGTATGACTAGAAGACATTTTGACAAGCTATTAGAACCAAATGAACCTGAGATTGAGAGGCTTTTTAGTCAAAGGAGACGTGCTCAAGCAAACATGTATCAAATTGGGAATAAAAAAATTGGTAAAGAGGAAGATTAGAATGTTGAGGCAATTCTAAATGTTGGGAATGCAACTAGGCCTCGTGCTATTCGAGATCATTTAAACCCTACCTTGAACGACCTAAAACCTACTATTGTAGCTCCCATGATTCAGGCAACCCATTTTTAGCTCAAATAGATTATGTTCGATAAGTTGGACTTGATTGGACAGTCTGGTGGTGCTCCTCATGACGATGAAAGGCAACATGTTCAAGCATTTTTTGGAGCTCTGTGATTCATTTCGATAACAAGATACGCTAAAATTGAAGCTAATTCCATATTCTTTGAAAGATCACGCCAGGGCATGACTTAATGGAGTACCTTCTGGCTCGATAAAGTCTTGGATTAATCTATACAAAAGTTTTTTACTATAGTATAATCCACTGAACATAAACACCCAACTGAGGAATGACATTACTTTCTTCGTCAATATGATGACGAATCAACGTATGAATGTTGGGATCGATATAAAGGATTGCTTCATAAATGTTCTAATCACGGTTTTCAAGATTAGACTCAAGTATTAATGTTCTATAATGGAGTCAATGCGTCCACGAGGATGATGGTAGAAGCCTCAGAAAATGAGACATTGCTCAATAAATCACCTGTAGAGGCATTTGACATCATGTATAGGATTGCTAACGATGATTATCAATTCTCATCTTCAAGGCTTGGAGGTGAGTTAAAAGCACCAGGGACATTCTAGTTAGATACTAAGGATTCTGTGTCCGTCTAACTTTCTGCCATCACCTATATGCTGAAGAATCTACAACGACCAAGTGAGATGAAATAAGTGCAGACAACCAACTCAACATGTCTTCTATGCCATGGCAATCACCATGAGAGTGAGTGTCCTACCAATCAAGAATCCATTAACTATGTAGGAAACTACAATCGAGGCAATAACAACCCATATTCTAACACCTACAATCCTGGATGGCGTCAGTATCCAAACTTCTCTTGGGAAATCAATGAACCTACAATGCTAGTCAGCCCCTAGGCAGTAGAATTTTTTTGACACTCAAGGTTCTGAAACGAATATTCCATGGCATAATACTAACAATGGAGTACCATCTTCATCCAACACAAGTTCTTTGGAGGCCACGATTCAAAATTTTATAGCAACCACGAAGGCCATACTACAAGACCATGCTACATCCATAAAAAACTAAGGATCCTTATTACACAGTCAATGAGCTTTGCTTCAAAGCCACAACTCATCTTTGAAGGCCTTGGAGGGTCAGGTTGGAAAAATTATCACGGCTTTACATTCTCACCCACAGGGAAGTCTATTCAATGATACTAAATTCATTAAGGCTCAAGACAGGAAGCATTGTGGTATATTCACCTTAAGGAGTGGTACCAAAATCTATAAAGATATTAAGTTTGGAGGGAGACACTCGGAGAGCCCAGTCATGAGATTGTGCACGAAGATCTGAAGATGCAAGAAGATTCACATTCGATGGAAAACAAGGATGAGGGTTCGAAGAGGGCAACCAATGAAGACAAGACAAATTTTATCACGGCAAAAGAAAAGTCCCCATCAGCAGAAGTTGATGACCAAAGGAAAGTTGCAGAATTTTTTCGTAACAAATTTTTATGCACTGATAATCACTTGAAACTTGATGAAGAAAATGAAGAGGAGCTCGAGGATATTCCAAAGGAGATGAATCAGTCTAACTTACTCATAGGAAGAACAGGTACAAATTTGAACCTTTAGATTTCATTAAATTTACTCATCCAAAACCCCAAGTAACTACCCATCTGTCTAGGGTAGAAATTCTGAAAGAATTAAAGAGTGAAATGAAGATTAATAAATAAAATTCCCTTATGAGAAGTTATTATTTTCCCGGTAATTTTGTAGTATGCTGACATTGTCAATTTTCTCGTTAATGGTGTTTTACTTCCTTACTTGAATAGTAAGGGAAAGAACAAGATCATACACAATGGTAGCTACTGTCATTGGGATGACCCTTACCTCTTCAAAGAATTTGCTTCCCAAATGATTAAAAGTTACCACAAAAAAGAGGAGCAAAAAGAGATCCATTCCACTATCATTCAGCTTCATGCTAAAGCACTTTGAAGAAGAGAGAACCACTGCAAAGGTCCTACAATTCATATGTGAAAAATAAAAAATGTCAGGGTAAAATATTTTGAAGGTGAAACTGTTATATGTGTGTGACATAACAATTCAAGATGTTTTCGAAAGAACAAACTGTCAAACATGTGAACAAGGGTAAAGCCCCTATGATAGTTGCACCCACTTAGAAAGAAGATTAGTGTTGGCACAAATAATGACATTGCTGATGATGTCCATCCATCTACACAAATTCCACGATAAATTGCAACACTTCTGGCCAAGAATCGCTTGAAGAAGACAACCAATCACATTTGGACTGCACCACTATCGGACTCTGAACACTCTAACCTCACACCATTGCGCAAGCACCCATGTCACACAACCACCACAACACCACCACCATAATTAGTTAAGGCATAGCATATTGTTTAGTTTAAACTTAGTTTTTATCAAGCATTGAGGACATTATTCTCTCAAGTTTGGGGAGGTAGGGTTCTTATTAAATCATTGCATGATAGTATTAGTAGAATAAATATGTCATGACATTAGTAAGTGTTCAATTTAGTTTTTTGGAATAAATTAATGATGCTTGATGAAGATGAACTCTTTATGGCTAGAATTGGATGTACATGATTGAAGAGGATGATATAACCAACTCTAGGACTTTCTTCTTTGTAACTTTTGATACACGATTGTATGTTTTCCATGCTTAAGGAATTTAAAGTTTTTTTATAAGAGAACTCTTGCATGTTTGGCATAAAACTTTAACAATGACCGTAAATGATGAAAACCCCACATGTTTCTAAAAATGAAAAAATAATTGTGATAAAAAATGAAATTGTGAATAAATGCTTCAGCATAACTGTATAGGGACACTTTGCTATGCCATGACATTGTCTGGATACTGCATTTAAATAAATGGTAGCCACGACATATGAGTGAATGAAAGTAGTCATGGAATGACTCTACCTGACTATCTCGGGGGTGGAAGGTATGCTCCCTTTCACCTAGAGTGTGGGATGGTAGGGGTGATGAGGTGACACCCCTCATAGCAGTTTAAAAAAAATAAGAAAAAGAAAACATTGTGGGAGTAAAATTGCATTTAAGTGACTAATAAATGCCATGGCAAGACAATAGAGCTTACATATAAATTTTCTAGATTTGTTAAGCATTGACTAGATACAATCACGCACACACACGCAAAGAATCTTGTCTTAGGGAACAATACTTGATTTCTCAAACTACTCTAGCGTGTTGAAGCATACTATCCTGAGGGCCAAAATTTTATCTCATATGACTACCTTGAACTTGAACTTTCCATGGTATTTTTATTTTGCTTACTACTATCCATTGCTTGAGGACAAACAATAGCTTAAGTTTGGGGGTGTGATAACTCCGTAAAAAGGTTGTATTTAGGGTCTTTTTACTTAATTTATTGATTGTGATAACTCCGTAAAAAGGTTACATGCGGTGGAAAATTTTTATTGTGGCATTTTATTTTGGAAAACGGAGCTGCGTTATGGGGAAAGTGTGTTGTTTAATGATGTGCAAGATTTGGGAGCAAGGATGTGCAAGGAGAATTGCTGCGACAAATTGGAAATGTTGAGCAGAATATGAATACCGCGACAACTCAGATGACATTTATGGGCAGAAAAGACAAATGAATAAATTTTTATTAAAGCTAGTTGTACTTCTCTACAAGTGCTCTCTGCTGCAACCACCTAGGAGAGGACCACTGCCACCTCTGTACCACCCCTCACGTGAATGGAATGAACCTTAGGGTACCATGAGAACTTTGACTCAAATCCCTAGGTTTATTTCTTACTATAAATAGGATATGAGGACACCATATTTAAGGGGACTTGATTTTGAAACATTCGAGTTCAAACTTAAAGAGAAGAGACGGATGGAAGAAAAAGTTTCCTCTTTTTCTTTCCCTTCATATTTTTTGTGGTATTTCTCTATTAACAAGTTCGAGGGAGTGGCAAGCTATGCGTCCGAGAGGAGCTAGCAAGTTAAGGCGGTTTATGGTGGCCGAGGGGAGCTCCGACAGTGCATGTCGAAGGCTTTTCCTTCATCCCTTTACTGTTCTTTCTCACTTATCACATTCGGGTTGTAAGTAACGGATGAATTTTATGATTTATTTCATGGATTATTCTAACCCCACCATTAACTAGCTTTATGAGGTAGGAGTTCACTATGAATGTTTAAGTTTTTTTCTTTAATGGATGGCTATCATTTTTCTATGTTTTTATTTGTTTTGTTTATAGTGCTTAATGACTTAAGGTTGTAGGAGATATGAGAGTAGCCATTCCTTAGGAAAATACTTAGTGTTAAAGAGAAACTAAGTAGCTTATCTTTAGTGCTCGAGAGAAACTAAGGAGGATCAACATAAACAAAGGGTTTTAGATAATAACTATATCTAATCCACCCTTAGACATAAGGATAGGATTTCAATCGACTAAAAAGAGTAGTTCTCGGTCGAGAGGTTAGATGTTAGTGCTGACGCTGAGTAGTATTGCCTTGACATATTCTGTTGTTCTGAACCAATAGGATCCCTGCACCTGCTAACACCGAGAGGTATTGTCATGGCATTCTCATCCTGTTGAGTCCCTTGAGTTGAGATAGCTTAGGGAATTTTCATAAACTCTGTCAGGCAAGTAAGACATAGAAGCAAGACCATCCTGAGAATATGGACTTAAGTTCTCTAAGTGACTCCTATCATTCATTCTCATATTAACTTGTTGTGTGAGGATTGTCAAGTCATTATGTTCAAATCCATTATTTACATTTTGTTTTGACTTTACATTCTCATTTGATTACTCTACACACAATCCATTTTGCCACGACATCTCCATTTGCTTCCACATCACACTATCATTCTACCCCCACCAACATACATTTTATTTTACCTCAGCACTAGCACTCTCATTAGTACATACCATCACACTAACTACACTTAGATTAAATAATTATTTGCTTTTATTGAACTTATAAATTTCCTCCAATCCCTGTGGATACGACACCTACTCATCACTGTATTACTTGTTCGATTGTGTATACATGCACATACTTCGCGTCCATATTTAGTACTCACAAAACGCGAACAATTATATTCTATCAAAATATCATGAGATAAAGGATTACGATATAAACTACGTTAAGGTTCTCTTGGTTCATGAGTTTTTCATTTAACTTAGGTAATCATAATGTCTTGTTAGAGACCACTTATGACTTGTAGGATCAATTAAAAAATATATGTTGATCTTGTATATCAAGTAACACAATTGTTCAATATAGACGAATAAGAGTTTCCCTCATATTGTAAAGAAAAATAATGGAACGAAGTTCAAAGTTAGCCTATAATTTTACCAGATCTCATGTTGTGTAAGTTCACTCTAGGTTGTCCAAAATCCACCAAAATTCATAGTGCTATGGATATCATAAAGAAAATCAGAGAATCTAAAAAATGCAAGCATTATAAAACTCAAGTCACTTGAAGAAAAATATTCATCTTTTTTAATATTTTTAATAGTAAACCATAATCGTGTGCTATTATATTTTGTTCTTTTTCATCTATAATATGTTTTTTCAAATAATTTCATTTTACAATACATTCACATAGCACGATTTCTTAATCTCTTAACTTTAACATAATAATCATATATCTAATAACTTTCATCACCCAATCTTACATAACCCTAACCTTAACATAAATAAACATATATAATAACTTTCATCTCCTAATATTTTTTTAATAGTAAACAAATAATCTTAAATTCAATCACCTAAATAAGAACTCTAAACCACTCTAACATAACATAACATAAAATTCAATCTAAACCATAAAAATCTTAATTCCTAAAATCTTTAAACCCTAACAAAAACATAAATCTTAAAAAAATCCTAAATCGTTTGCCCTAAAATTCTTAATCCAAAAAATATAAACCATCCTAGTTAAGAATCCTAAATCATAAAAACTTAAACCATCCTAAAACCAAATATCTAAATCATTAACATAAAATCTATTGAGTAATATGAGTGGTTAAAAGGAGTATTGTTCTTCCTTAAGGTCTTGAGTTCAAATAACTATAACTGTATGATGTATGTACATTATTAATAACTAAAAAAATATAAATCTATATTATTTTATAATTATCTCATACTATTAAAAAATCTATTAACGTAAGAAAAATCAACCATGATTTTAGTGTAAAAAGGCGTTTTTACAAAACACACCTTTCAAGGTTGTAGTCAAATTTATAAAAGACCTTTTCTACAAGGAACACCTTTATTACATCGGCAATAGAAAACTGCAATAGAAAACGTATTTTCAAAAAAGTGTCGTATTCAGAAAATAATCAGAAATAAATGTATCTAAGTAATAAAATTTTGTTTTTAATATATTCCGATAACAAAAAATATTTAAAGATATAATCTAAATTTATCTACAAATTATTTATTTATTCAAATGCGCGGATGCTCTTTACTTATTTAAAAATTTTAAATAAAAATGTCAATTTAAAAGCATACTATTATTAATATAAAAGAAATTAGCAAGTAATATGTTGTTAAGGAAAATTCAGGTTCAAAATTTAGGATATGTATTATTATTATTAGGAACAACCTCAAGTTCCAAATTTTTTTCTTAAGATATACAATAAAGATATCAAGAAAAATATTTAAAAATTCCACAAATAGAGTTTTCTTAAGGCCATAAATAGAGTTAAATACCAAAATTATATTATTTATTTACTTTTAAATATTTTAAGAATCTTTAAATAAAAACAATTTAAAACAAAACTAAAGGTCTTCTAACGATTAATTTAATTATAAAATTTAAAAATAAAATATACTCCAAGTTTCCTTACTCTTTGTGTATTTAAAATTTGATTTGTTAATTTTATTTTTAATAATTTTATTTATTTATTTTTTTCATTTTTTAAAAACTAAAATTTGATATCATGAATTTTTTTGTTAAATTCATGTAGTTATAATGCTAATTTTACTATATGGTTTTCAAATTAATATTTTTATTTTAAAATGTAAATAAATTTAACTTCAATTAGAAATTTAACAATATTAATAATTGAAATTAAAAAAGTTTAAAAATAGAAATAGGAAAATTAAATTTTAAATTTACAAAGAATATGATGGCATAAAGCATATTTTATTTTTATATCTTAATTTCAATTATGTTTTGACACTAAAATTAGAGTTCTACAAATGTAGGTGAAATTTCTTACATAATGTTATGGAAAAAATGATTTCCTCATATAAGGAGTTGAAAAAATTATTGTTTTATCTATGACTATTGTTATCATACACTATAAAAGATGTTTGAATTATTTGAGGATTTTTGGAAGACATCCAGATTTTTCGGCATCTTTTAGAAGATATCGTTCGAACCATAACATAAACAATTTTTGAGGATGTATGCATTTGGGAAAGACCATCGAATAATCCATGTGTCTTTTTTTAAAATGGTTGAGTGGTTTAAACATCTTTAATAAAATATTATAACTAAAACCCTATATAATAAAATTATTTTTCTAATATTTGAATGAGACAATTTTATTTTCCGAGCATTTTTAGGTAATTTTATCACAAATGTGTGAAAGTGAAACCCTTGTACCTTCTTTAATAGATTTTGTAACGTTTGTCTCAATAAAATATTATTTACCCTAAAAGTAATTATATATAAGTTTTTTTATCAAGTATATATAGGCTACTTAAATGTAGGGTTAGAGTAGAATAAAATAAATGCTAAGAACTTTGATGGCTATTTTATAGCATAGAGGGGGGGCTCTTTGGGTTTTATGATCTCTTCCTTTCTTTTCTCTCATCTGACAAAAGGAAGAACAGCACAAAAAACCTCAAATTTTCTCACTTTTTTTCTCTCTCTCAACCCAACAGCAATGATGGTGAAGTCCTCTTTCTGTGTATCCTCTCCATCGCCATCATTGATCCCACTACACCACCTCACCTGCCTTTATGATCATTACCTTCTTCACATTCTTCAAAGCCTGTCATCATTTCATCAAACCAAAAGGAAGAAGAAAAGGAAGAAAAGAATAAATCAGAGGCAGCTAAAGAAGCAAAGGTGATGTTGTTTTCAAGTGGAGGAGAAGAAGAGCAAAAGGAGGGCTTTTTCTTTCAACCTCTATGCTTTTCTCTTGGTTTTGAGTGATGGGTCTTTTCTCTTCTAGATTTTCCAAGTCTTTTTTTGGGGGGAATCAAGCATCTTGGTCCGAAAGATTTGCTTCCATCGAAGCAAATTTAGTACTAGCTTTTATCTTTTAAGTTTTCGTATGGTCTTTCTGCTTTTCTTGTTGTGTTATTGAAGACAACTAGGAACTGGAAGAACTTGTGTGTTTTATCTGTTTTCTGTAAGAGATCTCTCTTTTCTATATATGAACTTCTCTTTAACGTACTTTCTGCGATTTATACAACCTGATCTTTTCTTGATCTAAAGTTTCATCATATGTATGTATGTATGTATCCCAGTGGTTTTTTATGCCTAAAACAACAGATCTATCATGTTAATCATAAATGAAACTGTAGGTTTTTTTGTGTGTTATTGTTTTAGGGTTTCAAAGTTCAACCCTATATTGTATCAATTTTTTTAATCAAAAAACCTAAAAGTATACCATTTTGGTCTTTGATCTCATGATTAATTAAACTCATCACATCATGATTCACGAGCTTGACATAAATAATAACTTGACAGAAACAATCAATCTATACACTGTACACATGCTATCAGATCAGTCTTGTTCCTTTTATACAATATTTCCCTTAATTTCTTTCTTTGTGCTTATACTAAAACACTTATAGGATAGGTAATAAGAAGTACAATTAAATCCAGAAAATAAAAGAAATCTTATGATATTGCCTTTATATTTCATATTTGTGTTTGTGTTTTTCCACTCTTCTGCATCAAACAGTTCAGTTTTTATATAAGTACATGAATCGAGTAAATGATGAAGAGAAATTTAGATCCCCAAAGGTTAACGATTTGGGGGTTAATCATTTTACGTGTGGTATGTTTGGGGCGATGCATGTTTGAATACCATACGATATATTTAATATTTTGAAGTTTTTCTGATATGAATTGAATAAAGAAGAGTTGGATATCATTTGATTAGTTATTCTATGTATCCATATGCGTCCTTTCATATATACAACTAATCTAAATCATGCCTAGTTTACACCTTAGTGAATTCTTTTTGTTTAATAAGGTAAATCTCAGAGTCCTTATTTTAATATTTTTGTGTGTTTGATATCTGTATTTTATGCGTACGTGATTTTCTAAAATTTTAGTAATTAAAATGGCTGAAAAACCATTCATTTGCAGCTCCCTTAGCTCCCATCTCTACGTTGGAGAAGTGAAGTGATTGATGTATAATTTTATGTCGGAGAAGTTATTGACTTATAAATTTATGTTAGAAGGAGTATAATTTTATGTTGGAAAAGACAATGATTGATATATACTTTTATGTAAATATTCTAAATATAATTTTTATTTGAAGCATTTTTTTCACACATCATTTAATTTTATATTAAATGTGTCATATTAATTTTGATACATTACGTAATCTTACAAATATACTGTAATCATATTTATCTTGGCTATATATTGTACATATTATTTGTCGTGGTTATTATTCGTTTAAGACCAGATGGATTTAAATATAGTCAGTTGGAAATAAGTTTATTTAGATTTGGATAGGTCATGTTTAACTCATTAAAAAACAAAATTTCATATAAATATTGGTTAACACAAAATTTAATAATTAAAAAAAAAATCTTTTAAACATTTTGGAGCATGTCATAGAAGAGTTTAAAAAATATAAAATATTTTCAAGAAATACATAGACGTAAATGAGCTGGCTTTAATTGATGAGCTAAAGAATGAGACAACTTTGGTGGGCTATGGCATTCCAACAGAAAGAACAATCAGCTTGAGCACATGATAAAAAAAAGGGCATAATACTAAAAATATCCCTTATTTGTTTTATTAAAATAATCATTTTAGTTCTTTTTTTCATTTTTTTACATTTTAACCTTAAACGTTTTTCAAAACAATCATTTTAATCCATATTCTTTTTTTAAGAGTATTTTAACCCTTAATGTTTTACTTAAGAATAAAAAGTTTTCTCTACAGTTGAAAATCATTAGTTAATATATAATTAATACATCAAATACTAGTTTTTTAACCTAAAATGAAATGTTGCAAAAAAGATGGATCATTTATGACATTTTCATGTTGGGTTTAGGCAGTTTCCCTTCTATTGAAGAAGCTTGTGAAGATGTCGAATCGTTCCGGCCCAGATAGACGTTATAGTAGGGGCCGCCGAGCATGACGACTACGTCACGTGCAGCCACCGCCAGGATGTCGGAGCAGGAGACTGTGTTGGGACATGAGAGTTCAAGAGCTGTCTTGGCTCGGACAATGAGGTCGAAAGGATCTCCGGGGAGGGACAAGTTGATGTCGGCGTCACATTCGGCTTTGTTGAATGGTGTGGAAGAGATGAGGATGGAGCCATCACAGCCATTCGGGAGACAGTCGTCGAACAAAAGACGGAGTGTTCCTGCACCTGTCGTGGGGCTGGTGATTTGCTTGTTGGTAATATTTTCTTGCATAATTTGGTTGAAACTTGGACAGCTTTTGGAGTAGTAATCCATGCTCAACCTTGATTCAGAAATCAATGCAGTGGGGGAGAGAAAGAAGAAAAGAAGCAGAAGCAGCGGCGGCGCCATTGATTGAGAAAGAGTTATAGAATTAGAGTGAAAAATGAGAAGTAGGAGACGGAAGGGGATAATATTTTAAGTGAAGTTGGTGTCACCACTAATCACGGGAAGTCCGCCATGGGCGAAGGGATCCAAGAATTTTTATGAATGCGATGAAATCTCAGCTGTTGATAAGTATATGATGGGACAACAAATGCGGTTGCAGTTAAAGTTGATGGCTCCAATGCCCCATGCTTCTTTTATTTTCATCTATTTTTCTTTTATGTTTCCCCCCTCTAAGTTTAAAGACGAATAAGTTTAAATCCTTCGTCTGGATTAATTCAAATACATCCGCATTATATACCTAATTTTGATAAATAAGTTTTTTAATAGAGATTTTCTGTAAGACTTATTAGACATTGAATGTTAATTAAAATCAAGAGTATGACTTTTGTCAATAAAATCATAAATTTAGTTAAATTATTATTTTATATTTAGATGTATATATTTAAATTTTATCTATTATTTTAAGGGTAAAATATATAAATAGACCCCAAACTTTTAGGGTACTTGTAATTTGATCACCTAACTTTTGAAACTTGCATTATAGTCATCAAACTTTTATTTCACTTTCATTTCTGTCCCTGTCGTCACCCACCGTTAGTGGGCTCTAACGCCACATTACTAGTCTCGTTTTCAGCTCAATACAAATATCCTTTAACCCGTTTCAGCAGTCAATCTGCTTTTATTCTTCCCCAAATTTGAAATCATACACCCTAAAAGTCAAATTTTCAATATATTTTTATCAATAATTTCTAGCAATGGAGACACCAATAGAGAGACCACAAACTGCACTTCCAATATGTTATTGCGGAATATCAGCTAGCGTTCGCACAACTTGGACGAATAATAATACTGGCAGGAGATTCTTTGGGTGAGTTAACTATGGGCATTCATTTTAAAGAAATTGCAATTTTTTTATTTAGGATGATCCACCAATGAATCCACATTCATGTTCTGTTATCATTGGTTTGCTAAGGAAAATGAGAGCCATAGAGAGGAGAAGAAGGATTAAGCGAGTTGTTTGGGTGATTTGTTGTTTTTACTTATGTTGGGTTAAGAAAGGCTTAAGCAAGGGATTCTTTTTGGGAATGTTTTGATGTTATTGATTATGTTGGGAAGAATGATTAAAAAAGGAATTTGAAGTTCAGCATGTAATTGAACTGGTTATGAACATGAATTTGAGGTTCATTAATTTGCTTATATTTTTTATGTTTGTGTGTTTATTTTTTCTTATGCTTGTTTATGAACATGATTTTGAAGTATTTATGAAAAAAAAAATTTGAGGTTCATCAATTTTCCATCATGAATTTGAAATATTTTTTCTTATTTAGTTGGAACAAAAAATAATACAAAATAAAATTATTGATTAAATATAAAAAAAACAACAAATTGTAGAAGTAACATAACAATGTATAATGTTGTACATTCAACCATTTTTCTATAAATACATCAAAATGTCACCATATATCCTAGGTTAAGTTTTTGGTAGTCATATCATACTGAAAAAACCTAGACAAAAAATGAAACAAAAAATAGCAACCATCAAGAAGTATGAAACTGCCATATCATGGTTTCAAACTATCAAAAAGTATGAAAACCAAAAACATCAATTAGTCTTTGGTTGTAAACTATTAATTGATTTTTGAGAACTCTGCATAACCATATTTTTAGATGGAGCAGGTGATTGCAACATCCATCTAACAACTTGATATGCATTTGGTTGTTGTTCAGATGGTGCGAGTTGCCTTTTTAATCTTCTTCCTTGGCCCAGTAAATGTGGACTGACTTGGCACTTAGACAGTTGCAGGCCTCCGTATTTGTAATAAGGAAGAAGACCACATAAGGTGTAGCTATAAATTTATGCATCACATTTATGAACCTGATATAAATCAAAAGCTTGAAAAACAACTTAAAATCAATAGAAAATTTCAATTAGACATTCTATATAAAATATGCCGAATATGTTTAGTTAATATATAAGAAATAATCAGTACAAATCTAAAATTGATATTAGAAAGATAAATAAAAGTTCAAATAAAAAATAATATCTACTTAAATTATGCAATACAATAATAATGTTCATACTATCCATATTAAAAAATTTTAATTACTCTTTCTAACACTGTCAGCAAAGATTTGAACTCGATTTTTTTAAAGTACAATATATATTATTATTACGTCAAACGTACATTAATAGAAAGTTGAATATTAATATTATATTACTTTATATGAACTA